ATTTATAGTAGCACAACTCATAAAAACTAAATCTTAGAAGTGTCCTATAGATCCATTAATAGGTGAATGAAGAAAGTGTGGTATTTATATACACTGAAGTACTACTCTACTATAGAGGATAAACTTTAGTCATTTGTAGGAAAATGGATGCACCTTGAGATCATAACATTAGGAGAAGTAAATCAGACCCAAGTTTAATAGGAAACAGGGAGACAAATCTTATGCACACCAAGAGGGGGCTGAGTGGTGGAAATGGGGAGTAAGGGAAAGGGCACATAAAAAGAATTAAGATGTGTATGTAAGACTCCCCACAATTAATGTATTGCGAACATGTACTGATAAAAAACAAAAAAGAAAAAAATCCCATGTCAGAGATTAAGCAACATAAAAATAAGCAAGAACAAAATAAAAATGTGCACTGTGTTTAGGGCTGGGGACCCCTTAAGAAATTCCCTTTCTTGAAAAAGTCAAGTCAGCAATAAAAAAAATAATAATCATCCATATAATCTTAGAAAGTGCTTTAATATCTACCATTCTAGATAGTAATAAACTCAGGCTCAGAAGGATTGAGGGAGCTGCTCAAAGGCCCACAGGTACCAATAAGTCCAGTTTAACACAAGGTTTGGCAACCTCTCTTTTTGGATTATTTTTCTGCAGCTGTATCTCTAAATAGGTCTTTAAGATTCTGTCCTCAGCACTCATCAGTTGGGATCCATCTTTGGCTACCACATTCACTGTCTTCAGCCATCAGCTCTGTGGAAATGACCCCTCACTTGGCAAGTCCTCACTTTCAATTCCACTCCGTTTGCATGTCTCAATTACACCACAGGCTACTGGACTCAACATCTTACCTCTGTTCTCTGCCTAATATCACAAGGGGAGATGACAGAAATACCAGGGCTGGTGACAAAAACTGAAAGCAGAAGCAGCGTGATTGCAATGGGAGGTGTGCAGGCAGCAGAGGAGGCTGGTGCAGGCTCTCTTGTAGAGAAGTGCTTCCAATTAGGTAATTACAAGTTCATACTATGAGCCTGGATGTCTTGATGACTAATAGTCTACACAGATAATCAAGTCTGCCAATTTTTCCAAACTGGGAAGGGGTTGTGATTCTTGGGAATCTTGCTGCTTATGATCAACTAAAGACATATTTCTTACTTGCTTTTAGAAAATGCTGATAGTGACATTAAAATGTCTTGCAGACATTTTAATAAAACATTATTCGATTAAATGCATATCTGCAGGGATAGCTGTTCCTTATCTTGTAATGTTTACTTTCTAACAAAATGAAGTTGATATGATTATGAAGCACTGACAAAAAACTGACAAAACTTCAGGTCTACTTTTATTCACATGAACGTAGTCTTGTGGTATGTGTAATCTCTTATTGATGATGTATGTAAAGCATTTTATCTTTAACTTTATAGTAATTTACATTCTTGTTTCACAGGTTTGGAACTGATTCTCTAGGGGTTTTTATTTTATTCTTTTATTGGTACATTTTAGGCATACAATACATTTACATTTATCATTGGGTGGTTGTACCTGTATGTGATGTATCTTGGTTCTTATTTTTTCCCCATTACCTGTGCACCCTTCACCCCTCCACCCTTCCCTATTTACATAGACTTCGTTTCCATTTTTTTTCTTTTCTCATAATTTTTCCTTTCCCCATCTCCTCCCACCACCCCTACCCCTTTGGACCTTTTCCTATTTCTCTAGGGTTTTTGAGTTGAATATAGATGGGTTATTAAACCTGTTTAAGGTTTAAGTTTTAAACTTTTAAAAGGCAGAACTTTAGTGTGACCCCATAGAGAAATGTACGCCACTGAGACCTGATATATACAAAGGATGCTCCCAGCTCTACCACCAAGGCCATAGCTACCTCATCTTTGTGATCATAAGTCAATGTGCACATGGCCTTCTTCACTTTATAATATAGGTAAGGGATCTTCGAGGTTTGCTTAGCCATATTCAACTTTTTGTTGATCATTTCTTAGACCTTAGGGGGTAGCAGGAACTAGCTTGTTTACTGGGTCAAGGAGCTAGTAGTGGATCCTCTGGAAGTCCACAGCCAGATCCCTTTTAGATTCTTGGTCTATTATGCCTTCTATAGCAGATGTGTGGCTCATTCCACCAGTCAAGGTACTGGCGGATCTGATGTCTAGCAAGGGTCCACAGTCTGATAATCAGATGGTGCCTTCTCGCCATGTTCTCACATGGAAGAAGGGGCAAGGGAGTTCTCTGGGGTGTTAGCCTCCTTCCTAAAACCACCCCCTGAAATACCCTCACATTGGAGATAGGTCTCAACATGAATTTTGGATGGGGGAACACAAATGTTCAGTCTATAGCACATTCTTTCTCTCATGTGAGATTTGTTCTCTAGTTTGTTCCTTGTGGGCTGGTGGTCAACAGGCTTGGGAATGCCTCTAGCTTAGGAGGAGCCTGCCTTGAACAGTGGGTTGGGTACAGCTCAGTCCATTTCCCATTTAGGTCTTAAATGGCAATAAGATCCCAGGCTTTCCCTTGGGTAAAGCTTTCCTAGCCACAGGAGTGGCAAGGTCTCAAAGGCTGAGTTCAGGCTGTGAGCCCAGAGGAGAGGAGCCTAAGGGGAACACCGGGTCTTTCCCACATGTAATGAAGGGCCAGGAGCAGAGTTTAGGTCTCAGGCATCCATACCTTTAAAAAAATGTTCTAACAGGTGATTCTAACATGCAACAATGTAGAAAAGCCCTACTTTAAGTCACAGGACTGCCTGTAGCACAGGTAAGGGGAGATTTGAAAATTACCACTTGTCTGAACTCTTGCAATAATTCTGATGTGAATAGTGAAGCATGTTACATTACTTATAAAAATATAAAAGACTGTAAACAATAATAACATTCTTATTGCTTGGATTGTATTCAAATTTTTATTTTTTGAACAAAAAAACTTAGGACAATGATTTTAAATAATAACACATGGTATATTCTAGACACTTTTTAAAAGACAGTTTATTAAATGTGGACTCCTACAGTTCTGTTGTGATGCTTCCTTCAACATTTAAATTATTTATTACCATTTTATCTTCACTCCAAACTTGATAAACAAAGTCACTCTGTCTGCTTATGTGAAGCTTCACTTTAAGGAAATATTCCACTACCACATAAAACACATACAGAACAGTCATTTTTTTTTTAATATATACAAAACATAAGAAGTCTGTTCAGCCATTTTGGTTTTGTTGTTGCTTTGCCCATACTGAGATCAGCAAAAAAGCTAGATAATAAGCAAGATTTCACTTCAGCAGTGCAAAGGATGGCATCAACCAAACTTCATTAAACAAAACAACAAATTCAAACATGATTAGCAAAATTCAACTCATGTAAGAGTGATTTAAAAGAATAAGGACGTAGTGGGTCACCACTAGACTGGTTTTCACTGTTCAACTTTCCTCAGGGAACAAAACTACCCATTTCACATAAAGAAAGGAATTTGCATCCAAGCCTTTGTTTATGAAGAAAATGCCCTTCAAACAAATTCATCATAAGGCAAAAAAAAAAAAAAAAAAAAAAAAAAAACGCAGTTTGGCCCAGAGAAAAACTTACAATGTGTA